CTATTCAGATGTGTGCAGCACATTTTATGGAGGACTGTTTCCTGATCCTGGGAGAGTAGACTACAATGCCGGCTGTACTGATTCACTGCAAGTACATTTTCATATTTAAAGAATTTGCCACTGATGATTCAAACGTGAGTTTTGAGCAGTGTAGAGTAGCACTTGTTGTTTGTCATTTCTCCGATCACAAATGCAGACATGGTTTTATGTTTACGCGGCGCGATGCAACGCGTAAAAAGACAGTATAAGTCATTATAATCCGTAATTATGTCCCCACTGGATGAAACAAATGCCTCGTTTATAATGGGTTTTAATGTTTTTGTCTCATCGCTCCGGCCAGACAGGGCATCACAGTATGGTAAGGGGCGTAACATTTCCGTCACACGCTTGAGGTATTCAGCCAATCACAACGCACTGGATAGCTGGCCAATCAGAGCACACCTCGCTTTTCAGACCGATGAACTTTGTAAAAATCGACGCGTTTCAGAAAGGCGGGGCATAGAGGAGAAACAATAATGTACAGTATGTGGAAAATGTGTTTTTTGAACCTTAAACCGCATAAACACATTTCATTACACCAAATACACAAAATAATGTTCTTTTTAGCAACATCATATGACCCCTTTCACATCCTTGTTTTGTTTTCTTTTCTCACTTCATTGCTTTCGTGTTTGTTTTCCATTTGTTTTGAACTTTTCTTTCCATCTTTCCTGATTTTTAAAATCCTATGTCCTTCTTATTTTTACAGTATTAGTATCAGTTCCTGAATTCATTCTCTCTCATTTCCTCAGATTTGTGAGAACTATGGTCCTAACCTGGACACCTGTCCTGAAGGGACCATTTTGGGGCTGTTGGTGGACAGCAGTGGTTGCCTCCATCTGTTTGTTAACGGCATGGATCAGGGCATAGCAGCCCAGGACATCCCAAGCCCCTGTTACCCCCTTATTGACCTTTATGGCCAGTGTGAACAGGTCAGTGCTTATGACTGTAATATTAGGCTTCAACAAAAGTTTTTTTTAGAACTTCCTCTTCTAGCATTTTCAAAGAATGCACCACAAAAAAGAGAGAGTAAGGTAACACTTTAGTATAGGGACCAATTCTCACTATTGACTAGTTGCTTATTAGCGTGCCTATTATTAACATATTGGCTGTTTATTAGTACTTATAAAGCACATATTCCGCATTACTATATTCTACTTCTCTAATCCTACCCAATACTGAAACTTAACAACTACCTTACTAACTATTAATAAGCAGCAAATTAGGAGTTTATCAAGTCGTAGTTAATGGTTTGTTAATGGCGAGAATTGGACCTTAAAATAAAGTGTGACCGAGAGGAATCGTGGGACAGAGAGTAAATGTGAGAAAATATTTATTTTCATTAAATATTGTGTTATTATATTTTATGTTTTTACTTAACATGCCAACATTTTTACAGGCCCCATTACAAACAAATTAGGAATTCGAGGCATTGTTTTTACAAACATCTTTTTGTACTTGACAGAAAATATTTATATTTTAAAATGTATTACTATTAAATAATGTATAAAAATGTATTTTTACTTGCCCTGCCAACATTTTCACAGACCCTACCACAAAAATGTGTAATTTGAATGTTTTTTTGCCAGTGTCACAAAATATTTGTATTTATTTATATTGATATAAAATATTGAATTAAACATTTTTTTTTACTGTTATTATTTATATAATATTCAATATCGTTGTTTGCCCTGCCCATCCATAAAAAAAAAATATATATATATATACAGTGGTGTGAAAAAGTGTTGGCCCCCTTCCTGATTTCTTATTTTTTTGCATGTTTGTCACACTTTAATGTTTCAGATCATCAAACAAATTTAAATATTACACAAAGATAATGTAAGTAAATACAAAATGCAGTTTTTAAATGATGATTTCATTTATTAAGGGAAAAAAGCTGTCCAAACCTACGTGGCCCTACGTGAAAAATTAATTGCCCCCTCCTGTTAAATCATGAAAGAACTGCAATTAACCACATTATTTTAGAAAGCTGAGTTAAATTTCACTAGCCACACCCAGGCCTGATTACTGCCAGACCTGTTGAATCAAGAAATCACTTAAATAGAACCTGTCTGACAAAGTGAAGCATGCTTAAATAGCAACACAATATGCCGCGATCTAAAGAAATTCAAGAACAGATGAGAATCAAAACAGTTGACATGTATCAGTCTGGAAAGGATTATAAAGCCATTTCTAAGGCTTTGGGACTCCAGCGAACCACGGTCAGAGCCATTATCCACAAATGGAGAAAACTTGGAACAATGGTGAACCCTCCCAGGAGCGGCCGGCCAACCAAAATTACTCCAAGAGCACAACGACAACTCATCCAAGAGGTCATAAAAGAACCCAGAACAACATCTAAAGAACTGCAGGCATCACTTGCCTCAATTAAGGTCAGTGTTCATGATTCAACAACAAGAAAGAGACTGGGCAAAAACGGCATCCATGGGAGAGTTCCAAGGCAAAAGCCA